TGCACATAAGTTCATATTTGTATAAAATCAGATAAACAAGCCAAATATGACAGTTGAGCGACCGTGCTAGAACCACGGAACTCGGGAATGCCTAACACCTTCTCCCGGGTTAACAAAATTCCTTATCCGGATTTCTGGTTCACGGACTGTAATACAGAGTCATTCTTTTCCTCAATTCGGAATTAAATTGGTGACTTGGGACACCCTAAATCTCCCAAGTGGCGACTCTGAAATAAATAAAAAAATTCCGTTTTGATTGTCCTTTAATTGGAAAAACTCATTCACCCCATCGCGAGGGCGGAAAAAGGAGGTGTGACACACGCTATTGTACAGGAACAGTGCATCAGTCAACTTTCTATGGAAAGCTTTTTACCTACCTTGCTTACATCATTGTAAGTAATGTCACACAAGCATAAATACAATCAAGAAAGGTAAAACAACTTACTTTATAAGAGAACCAGATAAAGGATCTGAAGCATGTCTGCTACAATCATTCAAGTCAATCGACTCAAGATAATCGGGGCAGTGTGCTTTAGATTCACATGAACCAGATTAGGGACCTGATACCTTGGTGTTCCCCTGACAGAAGTATAAGTCAACTATACAGCTGGAAAGCAACTGCAAAAAGTGACTGCCTGCAACAGTGCAGCAGGCAGTGCAACAATCACTTTCCATTGAGATTGGACATCACCATTGTGAATTGACATCACTAAGGTAATGTCTTGTGTACTATAAACCTCATGCAAGGCACAATATTCTGGTTCAACACTTGCAAATACAGAAAATGAAAATCCTCTCTCAAGTGCTTGCAACAACCTCTCTCAAGAACAAAGCTGCTTCAACCTCAAGGACCTGATCCAAGATCGAAGATATCTTAAGTCCTTAGGTTTGTTGAGTCTTTGTTATTTGTTCTTTATTGTAACTCCTATCTTGCTTTCTTAGAAGCTGTTTTTAGGAAACCCAAAATCACAAACCCTCTAAGTTTGTGTCTTGGCTAGAGTTAGTCGAGTTGTAAAGTCTTTGTAACTAGAGAGTTACAAAGTGGCTTGTAATAAGTGTTATTACAAGTTAGAGTGATTAAAGTCTTTGTCACTAGAGAGTGAAAAAGTGGCTTGTGGTGAGAGCATCACAAGTTAATTAAAGTCTTTGCAACTAGGGAGTCGCAAAGTGGCTTGTGGTAAGAGTACTACAAGTTAGTTGAATTCTTTGTAATAGAGTCATTACAAAGTGGCTTGTTATAGGGGTTTACAAGTTAGTGAAGTTGAAAGCCTACAAGTGTAGGTCGTGGTTTTTGTCCCCTTGAGTTGAGATTTTTCCATGTAAAAATCCTCTGTGTTCTTTACTTTCTGCCGAGCTATTGTGGGAACAATTAGAGAACCTGATTCCCTATACTGGCTGGTTTTACAGTCTGTTGCTTACAGTGGAAACTTATAGAGAATTTGGTTCTCTATACAGTGGGAACTTATCTTGTGTCTCATCAACATACTGGTTCCGCAGTTAGCGCTGTACCAACCTGATATATGACCAAATCGCTATATAGTTTAGTTCCTCAGTATTTTCAGTGGAAACTTATAGAGAACCTAGATCTCTATACAGTTTGGTGGACGCTCCGTTGCTAACAAGCCGATAAAGGGAAGTTTCTCAAATCTTTGCCTTTATCTGTCTTGCTAGTGTGCAAAAAATATTGCCATTGCTCTTCACATTTTTTCTCCTACGATCGAAGTCTTAGTCTGATGATTTTTTCTACGAAGATAAAAACCCCTAGTCTGATGAATTTTCTCCGAGGATAGAAGTCTTAGTCTGATGAATCTTTCTTCTAAGATAGAAGACCAAGTCTGATAAACTTTCTCCTAGGATAGAAATCTTAGTGTGATGAATTTTTCTCCTAAGATACAAAAAAACCTAGTCTAATGAACTTTCTCCTAGGATAAACTTCTTAGTCTGATGAATCTTTCTCCTAAGATAACAAAAATATAAGAACCCCTAGTCAGATGAATTTTCTCCTAGGATAGAAGTCTTAGTCTGATGAATCTTTCTCCTAAGATAACAAAAATATAAGAACCCCTAGTCAGATGAATTTTCTCCTAGGATAGAAGTCTTAGTCTGATGAATCTTTCTCCTAAGATAAGAAAACCTAGTTTGATGAATCTTTTTCCTACGATAAACGTCTTAGTCTAATGAATCTTTCCCCTAAGATAACAAAAAAAAGAAAAAAGAAAAAGACCTAGTCTGATGAACATTCTCAAACTTTCTCCTAGGATCGAAGTCTTAGTCTGATGATTTTTTCTCCTATGATTAGAAAACCTAGTCTGATGAACTTTCTCCTAGGATAGAAATCTTAGTTTGATGAACTTTCTCCTAGGATAGAAAAACCTAGTCTGATGAATCTTTCTCCTAGGATAAACATCTTAGTCAGATGAATATTTCTCCTAAGATAACAAAAACAAACCTAGTCTGATGAACTTTCTCCTAGGATCGAAGTCTTAGTCTGATGAATTTTTCTCCTAAGATATAAAAACCTAGTCTGATGAATTTTCTCCTAGGAAATTAAAAAAAATAGAGTCATTTGTTCATGCATTTGAAAAAAAAGCGTTGGAGCAATTTGTTTAAAAGAATGATTTTCTCAAACACCAAAAAAAAATCCTTCTTGGTTCGTTTTAGCATAGGGTACGCAATTCCCTAGTCTCCTTTTCCAACATAGGGTCACCACTCCCTAGTTGATGCCAACAAAGGGTTTTCACTCCCTAGTTGATGCCACCATAACCCGATGCCAACATAGGGTCACCACTCCCTAGTTGATGCCAACATAGGGTCACCACTCCCTAGTTGATGCCAACATAGGGTCTTCACTCCATAATTGATGCCAACATAACCTGATGCCAATATAGGATCACTATTCCCTAGTTGATGCCAACATAGGGTCTCCACTCCCTAGTTGATGATTTTCTAACAATAGGGTCTCTAATCCCTAGTTGATTTCATTTTAGATATAGGGTCTCCACTCCCTAATCTCTTTTTCCCAAGGATACACAATCCTGACTTTTATTGCTTTCAATAATGAAGTAGTATAGAGTTTTGGTCACAAATAACTCACGAAATTTTCCTAGTGAAAACTGGGGCAGAAAAATTTCGTTTGTTTGTTTGTTTTGGTGTCTGAGCAAGTTTTACCTCGAACACAGGTTTCGAGATGACCCAAAAGAAGAAGTCTCCATCCAGAATAAAAGAAAAAGAAGAAAAGAAAAAGAAATGAACTCAAAGTGTAGAAGCAGAAAAAAGATGTGGACTGCTAAAGACATGATTGAAGTCACAAGCTTTGTAAGTCTTGCCTTGATCCGAGAAGCTGAAAAAGAATGAACCAGCACCTGGAGCTTACGAGCATCAAGATTCAGATCGGAGTCTGCATGAAGAACCAGCCAAGACTCAAGATTAAGCTTCAGGAGACTTATAGATAAGAATCTTGTAACTCGTAGCTGATAAGCTTAGTTAGTTTTTTCATTTTGATTTTGATGTAACAACAGGATCACGGACCAGAGCCTCGAACGGTACCTCACTCGACTCTCCAACTCATCCTTCCATCATTCTACAGAACTACACTAACCTGATTCCTTTATAGCCAAGGATATGTAGGAAACCTCAGAAGCAAGGTTCGGTCAGACTTTTTAAAATGCTTCCCATGGAGTATCCAAACAGGCAAAAATCGCTCGTATTCACTCACTTTATCTTTTCCCGAAAACTCTTCGTATTTTCGAGCAAAGAGAGACAGCTGTGAGCACGTGATTTTTGCCCGAGTAATAATACTCCTACAAAAAGTCAGAAATGGATTTTTTTTTAAGTGTTTTTAATTTTTTCGAATTTATAGTAATTGTTTGTTAATTGTTTGCATTTAGTTGTATTTTTGTGCATATTTAATATTTTAAAAAAATTATGGAAAATACCCTAAAAATGTTCAAATTTCATGTATTGCATTTTTAGGTTGATATTCGCATTTTTAGGTTTAAGTTTTTAATTAATTATATTATTAGATAAAAAATCAAAAAATATTGGCCATTTTTACTTTTTTAGCTTTTAGTTGCAAATTATTAAATTCCTTTCATTAGATTTAAGTTAATTAATTATTTTTATTTTAAAAAAAAATAATTAATACACTTTTACAAATTAGATTTTAGTTTAGGATTTTTAATTAAATTTATTAGGTTAAAAATCAAGAAAAAGATAAAAAAAAAGGAAGAGAGATGCTTTGTTAAATCCCGAATTGGGCCAAAACCAGCTTTCATTGGCCCAATTATCCTTAAAAAACCCCTCTAATCTGCCAATCCAGCTCCCCACCTGGCACAGACCTGACCCATTACCTACCTCATATAAAAACCAATTATAATTCCCAAACCCTAAAACCTAACCCTAATTTTTCTAATTCAAACGGCGCCCCATCCCCTCTAACCTAGTCTCTGCTACGCCCAACTCCACCCAAAATCGCCTGAAACTCAGGCGAGTTCACCCCAAACTCGCCCCACGTACTCCCTTCTCTCTACTCTTGCCACGTAGCGTAACTATTTCTGACAAACATAATTATTCTTTTTGGGTTTCACGGGTTTAGATTCCTTGTTGAGTGATTTTGAGATTAGTGGGAGCCATGGATTGATTGTCAATCGATCCACACCCTCCATTTGTCTCAAAAATCGTTTACACAAAGAGATTGGAGGACTTTCTTTTTGGATTTGGGGCAGAAGGTTCGAGAATTTTCTTCTAATTTTCGGATGAACCCGTTCTAGATTTTTTTTATTTCCTTTTCTTTTGAGTTCTGATATTACTCCACAAAAAAATACAAGGTTTAGCTTGAATTTCAGAAAAACATATATGAAATTATGGAATTTCATTCTTTTTCTTCTTCTTTTAATTCAGGTGTTCAAAGAACGGGGTTCGATTGAGTTTAGAGTAGATTGATTTTTTTCCGGCTGTTCGATTCCTGCTGCTGGTTTGTGGGTTTTGTCGCAATTTTTGTTCGAACTCGTTTTGTGTGAATCATTGTAGCCGAGCTTCAGTTTGTGGCTGCTCTTAGCCTTTACTTGGTTTTGCTAAGTCTGTTTCTTTGCTGGTATGTAAATCCTAACTTATTTTTGATTCAGGGATGAAATTTTGTTGTATACCTATTGATTCTCATATTGATTAAGTGATGTTTCGCCAAAGTTTTAAGTTCTGTTGCTTTTTTGCTTGTTCTTGATTCATTTGGCTCTGTTAAGATTTGGAGTCGACAAAATAAGCTATTGATGGATTTGAATGATTTGGGGAAGTCTGTTTTTTCTTTTCCTTTCTGTGAGACTATGATGGTGGTTTGAACTTTATGTAAATATGTTTGTGTTGAAAGGTCTTGAGTAGCAGACTATAAGCATCGCTGAAGCCATATGATTCAATCAATTTCCTCTTTCGTTATTATAGGAGCTGCTGGGTTGAAAATCATTTTACAACGACATGAGCGTTAACTAGTTAAGACGTCATGGCCTTGCTTCTAATTTCATGAGTTTCTTGTATCAATTTGTACTAAGTGAAACCTCTTCCCTTGAGTAGTATATCTTGATTCTTGAATGCCCTATTCAGTTAATTAGTTCAAGACAGTATTACTGTTTGAGATATAAAATTAATTGCAGGGATTTAATCGAGTAATGTGGTTCTTATATTGTGATGTTCAGAACTTTGTTGTTAACCGTTGTTATTCAATTGCTAATTTCCAAACTTGTCTTTGGTTTGTCTGTGAAAAATATCTATCATGTCAGTCATTTAATTGTGAACGAAGTGCTGAATATATCCACCTATTGCATCTAGTTTCTATGGGATAAGACAATCTTAGAGTTATTCGAATCATGAAAGTTGAGCCTTGGTTTAACTTTTTTTTTTTGTTGAAAATATGGCTGCTGCGTTTTTTTTTATTAAATGAAGCTCTTAAAAATGCTAACTTCCATTAAGTCCTAAGTAACGGGAGTCCACACTTTCAGTTGTCTGCAAAATCGTTTACCACTCTACATCTAAAAAGTTATGTTGGACTAATTTCTTTAGTTTTTCCCCTGTTAAAATCTATCCTTATCCACAACTTTTTGATCTTTTATAAACGAACGTCAAATATTAGGGAAATTAATCACCATTTATGAATATTGTAGCTTGCTTTAGGCACGATTAATAAATAAATCATCACGGCTATGGGTACGGTTCCCATGGCATGGTCGTGGTACCTAATCCGCAATTCGAGTTTGCATTTCATGTGACCCGACTATAACTTTGAACATTAGTAATAAAAATAAACATGTTGTAAACTGCAGGTGCATTTCATGAGACGCGATTCACAATGTGTTAAAAACGATAAGTGTACGACAATTGTGTCTTGTTCCATAAATAATTTTATAAATAAAAATAAAAGCGGTAATAGAGTTAAAATGCACAATAGGTTTAAAACATGTAATAAATCAGATAATTAGGTCAATTATTAATAGTTGAGCGACCGTGCTAAAACAACGGAACTCTGGAGTGCCTCACACCTTCTCCCGGGTTAACAGAATTCCTTACCCGGTCTTCTGTGTTCGCAAACCATAAATAAAAGTCAATTTCCTCGATTTGGGATTTAAAATAAGGGTGACTTGGGACACCATAAATTATCCCAAGTGGCGACTCTGAATAAATAAATAATCCCTTTTCGATTATGTCACTTAAATTGGAAAAACTCCCTATCTCCTTGGGAAAAAGGAGGTGTGACAGATTTCGTAGCCGATTTTACACCAGCTCTGATTCCCGAAGCTAATAAAGAAATGGTGGCCAGCTCGAAGGCCTCTTCGGGAACCTGGACCTTATTTATAGACGATGCGTCGAATGGGAAGGGATCCGGGCCTGGCATAGTGCTGAAACCACCCTCGGGCAACATAGTTAGACAATCGATCAGAACTTTGAAACTGACTAACAATGAGGCCAAATCTGAGGCCATAATTGCAGGTCTCAAACTCACAATAATCTTAGGGGCAGAGGTGATCGAGGCTAAATCTGACTCTCTCCTTGTAGTGAACCAAATAAATGGTGCATTTGAGGTCAGGGAATAACGAATGCAAAGATACCTCGTCAAGCTACGAATGACTTTACATCGATTCAAAGGATGGAATGTACAACACATTCCTCGAGACCAGAACGGTAAAGCTGATGCCCTGGCAAACTTAGGCTCGATGGCCGAAGATGACAAACCCAAATCAGAGGTAGTCATGAAATTGAGAAATTCGGTGACAGAAGGAGGCCAAATCGAAGTAAACTCCATAAGCCTAACTTGTGATTGGAGAAACAAGTACATATAATACTTCAAAACAGGGAGTTTACCGAAGGACCCAAAAGAATCGAGGTCTCTATGCACAAAAGCAGCCCAGTTCAGCCTATCTGAAGACGAGATCTTATTCAAAAGGATGTTCGACGGCCCACTTGCTATTTGTCTCGGGCCGCGAGACATTTATTACATTCTTATAGAAATTCATGAGGGCACTTGCGGTAATCACTCAGGCACCAAACTATTAGCTCAAAAGATAATCTGAGCTGGATATTATTGGATCGACATAGAAAAAGATGCAAAAGAGTTCGTACAAAAATGTGATGGGCGCCAAAAACACGCACCATCGATTCACCAGCCTGGGGAACCACTACACTCGATCATATCACCATGGCCATTCATGAAGTGGGAGATGGACATCGTCGGCCCTCTCCCACGGGCATAAGGTAAAGCTCAAGCATACGAGAAGATTAGGGAAAAGGAAGTGATCGATTTTATTTGGGACCACATCGTGTGATGATTCAAGATACCATCTAAAATTGTATGTGACAATGGGAAGCAGTTCATTGGTAGCAAAGTCACGAAATTTTTCGAGGATCACAAAATTAGTAAAATCTTATCAATGCCCTATCACCCCAGTGCAAATGGACAAGCAGAATCAACAAACAGTACCATTATCCAAAACCTTAAGAAAAGTTTAACTGAAGAAAAGGGAAGATGGAGGGAGATTCTACCCAAAGTCCTTTGGGCATATATAACAACCTCGAGATCCAGTAATGGGGACGCACCATTCTCACTAGTCTACGGCACTGAAGCCCTTATACCGGTCGAAGTTGGTGAACCAAGTATCAGATTTCAATACACAATAGATGAATCTAGGAATGAAGCCATGCTTACAAACTTGGAACTACTAGACAAAAGATAACGAAATTGCCCTTATTCGATTGGCCGCCTAGAAGCAGAAAATCGAGAGGTATTATAATCGAAGGACCAAGCTTAGATACTTCAAAATCGGAGACTTGGTGTTAAGAAATGTCACATTAAATACGCAAAATCCAAATGAAGGGAAGTTGGTCCCAAACTGGGAAGGTTTGTACCAAATTCTCAAAATCACTAGGAAATGATCTTATAAGCTAGGGACAATGGACGACTGAGAGTTACCTAGCAATTGGAATGTAACACACCTAAAATGATACTATTGCTAAGGTACGACCTCCATTAAACACATTTGACATCTTGGAATCTAACCATTGTAGATAATCGACAAAGTACAATGAGGAACCTGAAGACTGAAAGCACGTGTTGCACTCTTTTTCCCTTGAACCGGTTTTTACCCAATGAGTTTTTTCGGCAAGGTTTTTAATGAGGAAACAATGAATCGTGATGACTCAGAACGAGGAAATAATAGTGTCAAATCAACAGTATCCGAGGTTTCATCTACCTTCAACCTCAAATACTCGGGGGCACCCCTCGGATATGGATACCAACTATGACAAGAAAAAGTGTTCAAATTAGAAGTCCCTCGGCAAGACGAAATCATTATACGGGTGAAATGGTCAAAGCTAACCGTGCCCACGTAAACTACTCAAGTTTTAAAAGGTTGTACTCATATAACATCAGTTCACACGAATGGTATTTTCAAACATTTTGTCACACCCAATTTTCACTAAGCCTAAGGGCTACATTATTCCGAGTTTGAGCAATCCTCACTCGACCACTAAGCCTAAGGGATACATTACTTCGAGTTTGAACAATCCTCACTCTGGGGCTAAGCCTAAGGGCTACATTATTTCGAGTTCGAGCAATCCTCACTCGGGGGCTAAGCCTAAGGGATACATTACTTCGAGTTTGAACAATCCTCACTCTGGGGCTAAGCCTAAGGGCTACATTATTTCGAGTTCGAGCAATCCTCACTCGGGGGCTAAGCCTAAGGGATACATTAATTCGAGTTCGAACAATCCTCACTCGGGGGCTAAGCCTAAGGGCTACATTATTTCGAGTTTGAGCAATCCTCACTCGGGGGCTAAGCCTAAGGGCTACATTATTTCGAGTTTGAGCAATCCTCACTCGGGGGCTGTAAGGGCTACATTATTTTGAGTTCGAGCAATCCTCACTTGACCACTAAGCCTTAGGGCTACATTACTTCGAGTTCGATCAATCCTCACTCGGGGGCTAAGCCTAAGGGCTACATTATTTTGAGTTCGAGCAACCCTCACTCAACCACTAAGCTTAAGGGATACATTATTTCGAGTTCGAGCAACCCTCACTCAACCATTAAGCCTAAGGGATACATAATTCCGAGTTCGAGCTATCCTCACTCGACTACTAAGCCTAAGGGCTACATTACTTCGATTTTGAGCAATCCTCACTCGGGGGCTAAGCCTAAAGGCTACAATATATTAAGTTCGAGCAACTCTCACTCGACCACTAAGCCTAAGGGCTACATTATTCCGAGTTCGAGCAACCCTCACTCGACCACTAAGCCTAAGGGCTACATTATTTTGAGTTCGAACAACCCTCACTCGACCACTAAGCCTAAGGGCTACATTATTTTGAGTTCGAACAACCCTCACTCGACCACTAAGCCTAATAGCTATATTATTCCGAATTCGAGCAATCCTCACTCGACCACTAATTCTAAGGACTACATTATTTTGAGTTCGAACAACTCTCACTCGACCATTAAGCCTAAGGGCTACACTACTACAAGTTCAAGCAAACTCTTACTTTGGGGCTGCGACTGAGGGTACATTATCTTGACCACAAACGCCTAAGGGCGAAGTTATGTTGAGCTCAAAGATTAAAGTGCTCAATGCAAATTCATACATGAGATGAGAGAATTTTTTTTATATACGCATCAATAATTATTTATAAGGGCAACTTCGGCCAAAGGAAATTCTTTACAGAAAAGGCTTCAACAAAAAACACGACAAATAAAACCCTATAAGGCCTAGTCCCCACCAGTATCAGCATCTTCACCCTCGGTATCCTCTCCACTTTCGGACCCGCTTGAGCTCTTGGAGTCATCATCAATAGGGTAAGCTAAACCCTTGGCCTCAGCTTCCAGTTCCTTGGATTTTTTGATTTCAACCGAAAGTTTGAAGCCATGGGCATGGATCTCCTCCAGAGTCTCCCTTTGAGACTGGTGCTTAATGTGCTCAGCAATCCAATGTGCTCGTACCTGAGCAGCCTCGACAACTTCATTTGATCAAACCTAAGCGGCTAAAGCATCAGCTCGATAAATAGCCACCATTGCATCAACTTCGTTCTTGGTTGTTTTTATCTTCAACTT